CAATGAAATAGGAGACTTCCAAACTTTCCTGATAAAAAGACCAGAGCTCAACAAAAAATTTGATCTTCAAGTACAGGACTCAAGAAGGACATAAAAAGGTAAATGGGACAGAAAGATACAATATGTTGTTAATGGGGGGGCTGTTTAAACCCTACAAGGGAATATGACACTTGCAACCCTTGAGAACTGTATTGTTATTACACCATGTTAAAGGAGTATACATAAAGAGGGTGGATATTAGTTGACTTTGATGTAATGAAAAAAAAATCTAATCAAGTGGGTTAAATGGATCCAAATAAGTGGATCAATCTGATCTTAGAAAATGTACTGAGAAAGGAGGAGGCAGACAAGGGTAAATTACATTACAGGAAAAGACACAAAATCCTATTACAGCAGAGGGAAAGAAGGGAGGGGGGAGCATTGTTTGAACCTTACTCTCATCAGATTTGGCTCAAGAAGGGCATAACATAATCAGTTAGGTATAGAAATCTAACTTGCCCTATAGGCAGTAGGAGGGAAAAGGGGAAAGAAAAGGGGGGGAAGAAAAGGGAGGGGAAGAAGGGAGGGAAGAAGCAGTAAGAGTAAAGGGGAAGAAAAGGGAAAGGGATAATAAAAGGGAGGAGGGACTGAAGGAGGCGGTGGTCAAAAGCAAAACACTAGTGAAGGGGGAAAGGAAAAAGGAGAAAGAAAAGCATAAATGGGGGGAAGAAGACACAGATAGTAATCATAACTGTGAATGTGAATGGGATGAACTCTCCCATAAAACGGAAAATGGATTGCAGAATGGATTAAAAACCATAATCCTACAATATGTTGTTTACAGGAAACACATTTGAAAAAGAGTGACACATACAGGGTAAAGGTAAAAGGCTGGAGCAGAATATATTATGCTTCAGCTGAAGAAAAAAAGCAGGGGTAGCAATCCTGATCTCAGACAAAGCAAAAGCAAAAATAGATCTAATCAAAAGAGATAAGGAAGGAAACTACATCCTGCTAAAAGGCACCATAGACAATGAAGTAATATCATTACTAAACATATATGCACCAAATGGTATAGCATCCAAATTCTTAGAGAAGTTCAGGGAGTTACAGGAAGAAATAGACAGCAAAACTATACTAGTGGGGACCTGAACCTCCCCCTCTCTGCACTAGATAATCTAACCACAAAATAAACAAGAAAGAAGTTAAGGAGGTGAATAGAACATTAGAAAAATTAGGTATGATAGACCTCTGGAGAAAACTGAATGGGGATAGAAAGGAATATACTTTTTTCTTGGCAGTACATGGCACATGTACTAGGGCATAAAAACCTCACAATCCAATGAAGAAAGGCAGAAATATTAAATGCATCCTTTTCAGATCATGATGCAATAAAAATTATATGTAATAAAAGGCCATGGAAAGATAGACTAAAAATAATTGGAAACTAAATAATCTAATCCTAAAAAATGATTGGGTCAAACAACAAATCATAGAAACAATCAATAATTTCATTCAAGAGAATGACAATAATGAGACAACATACCAAAACTTATGGGATGCAGCGAAAGCAGTTCTTAGGGGAAGTTTTATATCTCTAAATGCTTACATAAATAAAATAGAAAAAGAGGAGATTAATGAATTGGGCATACAACTAAAAAAACTAGAAAAAGAACAAATTAAAAATCCTCAACTAAACACAAATTAGAAATATTGAAAACCAAAGGAAAAATTAATAAAATTGAAATTAAGAAAACTATTGAACTAATAAATAAAACTAAGAGCTGGTTTTATGAAAAAAAACAATAAAATAGATAAACCTTTGGTTAATTTAATTTTAAAAAAAAGAAAGAAAACCAAATTACTAGTATCAAGAATGAAAAGGGTGAAGCTACCACCAAGGAAGAGGAAATTAAAACAATAATTAGGAATTATTTTGCCCAACTATATGCCAACAAATTTGATAATCTTAGTGAAATGGATACATATTTACAAAAATATAAATTGCCCAGATTAACTGAAGAGGAAGTGAAAGACTTAAATAACCCCATCTCAGAAAAATAAATTGAACAAGCCATTGATGAACTCCCTGGGAAAAAATCTCCAGGGACAGATGGATTTACATGCGAATTCTATCAAACATTTAAAGAACAATGAATTCCAATACTATATAGACTATTTGGGAAAATAGGTAAAGAAGGAGTCTTACCAAATTCTTTTTATGATACAAATATGGTGTTGATACCTAAACCAGGAAGAGTCAAAATAGAGAAAGAAAATTATCGACCAATTTCTCTAATGAATACAGATGCAAAAATTTCAAACACAATACTAACAAGTAGATTGCAGCAACTTATCACAAGAATAATACACTATGACCAAGTAAGATTTATACCAGGAATAAAACACTAGAAAGCATAGGTATAAATGGAGTCTTCCTTAAAATAATAAATAGCATCTATCTAAAACCTTCAGCAAGCATTATATGTAACGGGGACAGGCTAGAAGCATTTCCAATAAGATCGGGGATGAAACAAGGATGTCCATTATCACCACTGTTATTCAATATTGTACTGGAAACCTTAGCTTTAGCAATAAGAGAAGAAAAAGAAATTGAAGGTATTAGAATAGGCAAAGAAGAAACAAAGCTATCACTCTTTGCAGATGACATGATGATATACTTAGAGAATCCTAGAGAATCAAGTAAAAAACTACTTGAAATAATAAACAACTTTAGCAAAGTTGCAGGCTATAAAATAAACCTACATAAATCATCAGCATTTCTACATATTACCAACAAAGCCCAACAGCAAGAGATAGAAAGAGAAATCCCATTTAAACTTACTGTAGACATTATAAAATATTTAGGAGTCTACCTCCTGAAACAAACCCAGGAACTCTATGAATACAATTACAAAACACTTTTCACACAAAAAATCAGATCTAAATAATTGGAAAAACATCAGTTGCTCATGGGTAGGCCGAGCTAATATAATAAAAATGACAATCCTACCTAAGCTAATTTACTTATTCAGTGCCATACCAATCAAACTACCAAAAATTATTTTATAGAGTTAGAAAAATAATAACAAGATTCATTTGGAAAAACAAAAGGTCCAGAATATCAAAGGAACTAATGAAAAGAAATGCAGGGGAAGGTGGCCTAGCAATTCCAGATCTTAAATTGTATTATAAAGCAGCAATCATCAAAACTGCTTGGTACTGGCTAAGAAATAGGGAGGTGGATCAGTGGAATAGGTTAAATATGCAAGACACAGTAGTCAATGACTATAGTAATCTATTATTTGATAAACCCAAAGACCCCAGCTTCTGGGATAAGAACCCACTCTTTGAAAAAAACTGCTGGGAAAACTGGAAAAGAGTATGGCAGAAACTAGGCACAGATCCAAATCTCATACCATATACCAAAATAAAGTCAAAATGGGTTCATGACTTAGATATAAAGGCTGATACCATAAGTAAACTGGGAGAACAAGGAATAGTTTACCTATCAGATCTATGGAGAACAGAATTCATGACCAAACAGGAGATAGAGAACATTATGAAAAGCAAAATGGATAATTTTGATTACATTAAATTGAAAAGTTTTTGCACAAACAAAGCCAATGCAACTAAGATTAGAAGGAAGGTAGAAAATTGGGAAAGAATTTTTACAACCAGTCTCTCTGATAAAGGCCTCATTTCTAAAATATATAGAGAATTAAGACAAATTTATAAGAACTCAAGCCATTCCCCAATTGATAAATGGCCAAAGGATATGAACACAGTTCTCAGATGAAGAAATTAAAGTCATCTATACTCATATGAAAAAATGCTCTAAATCGTTATTGATTAGAGAAATGCAAATCAAAACAACTCTGAGGTACCACATCACACCTATCAGATTGGCCAACATGACAAAACAGGAAAATGATAAATGTTGGAGAAGATGTGGGAAAATTGGAACACTAATACATTGTTGGTGGAGTTGTGAAATGATCCAACCATTTTGGAGAACAATTTGGAACTATGCCCAAAGGGCTATAAAAATGTGCATACCCTTTGATCCAGCAATAGCACTTCTGGGGCTATATCCCAAAGAGATCAAAAAATGGGAAAAGGACCCACATGTACAAAAATATTCATAGCAGCTCTTTTTGTGGTGGCAAAGAATTGGAAATTGAGAGGATGCCCATCAATTGGGGAATGGCTGAGCAAGTTGTGGTATATGAATGTAATGGAATACTATTGTGCTATAAGAAATGATGAACAGGCTGACTTCAGAAAAACCTGGAAAGACTTATATGGTCTGATGCTGAGTGAAGTGAGCAAAACCAAGAGGACTTTGTACACAATAACAGCCATGTTATGCAATGACTAATAGTGTTAAACTGAACCCTTGTCAGCAGTACAAGGATCTAAGACATCTTCAAAGGCCTCGGGATGGAAGATGCTGTCCCCATCCAAAGAAAGAACGATGGAAATTGAATCGCTACCATTTATTTTTACCTTCTGTTGAGTTTTGTTTCATCTTTCTGATGGTTCCTCCTATTGGTTTTAATTTTTACTTACAACTTCACTAATGTGAAAATATGTTTAATAGGAATGTAAACGTAAAGCCTATATCAGATTGCACGCTGTCTTGGGGAAGGTGGAGGGGGGAGGAAGGGGGAGAAAAATTTCCAACTCAAAAGCATATGGAAGTGATTGTTGATAAATCAATAAATTAATAAAATTGGGGGAAAAAGATAAAAAAAAATACTAATGTCCTTTCAGCCATGTGTCACCATCTCCATTAACATAATTTTTACAGATTAAAAAAGAAAAAAACCTGGGACCCAAAGAGATTAATCAATGGACTTTCCAACTTTTCATGTGTAACTGACGTATTGTGGACCAAGAAAGGCCATGCATTTTCACTTCAGGACCAATTGCATAAGAATAATGCCTCCCTCCCAACATATACACCTGTGTCCTGATGAAAGTATAGCCTTCAGTGGTAGAAGTAAGTTATCACTCACCAGTATACAGTCGATTAGACATGAGAGCTGTTTGAATGTGTAGCTCTTTGCTCCATTATCTCTCTGGAGTACTCTTTTGAGTACTGTGGAGATCATGGCCGTGGAACGGAGGAAACTACTCTTTAGAACTTCATCCTAATTCATTCAAGAAGCAAGTAAAAAAAAAAGTCAGACCTCTGATGTCCCTACAAATATTGGAATTCTATCCACTGATCATTCAATGATGCTGGATAAGGCTATTAAACAATCATTTCCAAGGGATAATAGACAGTTCTCTAGAGCAGTGGTCTCCAGAGGAGGCACTATGGCAGGAGCCTAGGGTGGGAGTAGAGGATTCCAAATTGGTGATCAACCAATTGGAGCATGGAAAGATGTGTCAAATCCTGTCTCTAACCTCCCATATCTACCTTTTACCCAGTATGACCTAGTGTTCCTCCACTCAATCCCCAGTTTTCTTCTTCCTCCTCCTCCTCCTCCTCCTAGTCCCACACCCCAACTGTACAAGATCTCAGCTTCCCCTCTTCTGTACCAGAGGTTGGCCCATGATTTTATAGACTTAGATTTAGAGCCAGAAGGGACCTTAAATAATCAGTGTTGGAGGGATTGTGGAAATATAAGCATATTAATTTATTGTTGTTGAGCTCCGAATTAGTATAACCATTCTGAAAAGCAATATGGAATTATACAAATAAATAAGCTAAAATATCCATACCCTTTGACAGAGTGATTCCACTGCTAAGCAGACACCCCAAGAAGGCCATGGGTAATAAGGAAAAGTCCATGGGAAGGACCTTGGAGAGCACTGTTCTAATTTTACAGATGAAAAAAAGGAGGCCCAGAGAGGTTCAGTGACTTACCCACATCACAAAGGCTGTAAGCAGCAGAGCTGGCATTCAAACTCTGACTGTAGATTCCATGATGCCCTTTCCATAATGGGCATCATGAGTACCCTGATGCTTTAGAACCTAACCTTGACCCAGGCACCCACATCAGTAATGACTAAGAGCCATTACTGCCCTTCCTCAACCCCCCACCCCTTTGCAACTTTGGTGCGACCCAGTGAGTTGCACAGGATGAGCAGACATGGATGTGTTGTGATATGCATCACCAATCTTATTGCATTCTTTCCCTTTTTACCCATCCCACTTCCATACATCTGTACTTCAGTGAAGAGTGCCACCATCCTTCCAGTTGCCTAGCGTCATCCTTGACTCCTCACTTTTATTCACTCCACTTATCCAAGTAGTTGCCAGATCTTGACATTTCCATCTCCATATCTCTTAAATCCATCATTATCAATCATATTAAAAAGGTTTTATACCAGTAATAAATAAAATTAAGATATTTTAAATTATGGTTAATTTCATTTTATCCCATCCTTTTTTACTTATTTTTTGTGTACATTTCATATAAAAGTAATACATTATAGGCCAGGGTTTGGGTCTTGGTCTTCTGATTTCATTGGTAGAGGGAATTCCAGAGGAGAAAACTTCCTCTAGCAGAGCTGTAGACACCTTTTATGCAGCTTGCAATCTTAGAGAATCACCCGAGCTCTGAGAGTCTAAAGGACTTGCCCCAGATCACAATGGATGATGGCCAGGATGTGTCAGAAGTGAAGTCAACTCTATCCACTACACTGCATGGTTTCTCACTGTGTTAAGTTATTTACTAATAAATCAATGTGCATGCATTAAGGGCACATATCCAAAAAAACATTATGGGGTCTGATAAGGGTGCACAATCAAAATGTTTGAAGGCCAGTGTACAAGGGCATGGGGGAATGAAAGCCCACCCCTCAGAAATGTTGGAAGAATCCTAGAGAGAATACATACCTACACCAAGAGGAAAGTTACATTTGTGGTGATGATGCTCATAGAATCTCAGAGTTTGGAGGAACCCCAAAGGTTACCCAACCTGTACTTAAAAGAAATCTCCTCTACATCATGTCCAGCAAATGGCCATTCCTCCTCCACTTTTCCTCAACACTCATTATTGGTCATGTCATGACCAAACCTGTTCATTTTGTTCTCACAGTCCCAGATTTCAGGAATGTCTTCCCCTCACCTTTCTGCTTACCCAAATCCTACCCATCCTTCAAGGACCAACTAGAATACCATCTCCTCCATGAATAACAGTACCAGTAAGTCACATTTCTATAATACTTTAAGCTTTTCGAAAAGCTTTCCTAACAATCTGAAGGGATAAGTAATGAGGGCATTATTATTCCTCCAATTTTAAAGATAAGGAAACTGAGGCACAGAGAGGTGATGTCACTTGGCTAAGGTTACATAGCTAGAAACCTTCACAAGTGGGACTTCAACCCTGGTCTTCTAACTCCAAGTCCATATACCAGGTTGCAGACTAGGTTCACCCATCCCGGAACAACAGAACGACTGATCACCCCCTTCTCTGAATTCTTACAGCACTTACTGCCTGTACTGTTCATATTGACACTGAGTCCTATACAGTAGTGAATTATTTTGTGTTTTATTCTTCAATGCCTCATCTCTTCCTGTAGATATGCCCCTAGGGTAGGGGTAATGGGTTTCCCTAAGGCATAAGAACACAAGGCTGAATATACATGTATATACACACATATACAATATTATATATAATAATACATTAAATGTGTATAAGTATGATATACATGCACATATATATGTATGTGTATATATGTATACCTTTAAAGACTCTAAATTTAAGAAAGCTCCATAGAGAGCTCTGCCACCTGATCCTCTTCCCTCCAGAAGCTTCCTCTCTAAGAGGCAACTATGGCACCATTGAAAGATCATTGGTGTTGGAGTCAGAAGTCCTGGATTGGGGCAGCTATATAGCAGAGTAAGTACAGCACCTGGCCTGGAGTCTGGAAGACCTGAGTTCAAATCTCAGATAGTTACCAGCTGTGTGACCCCGGGCAAGTCACTTCACCCTGTTTGCCTCAGTTTCCTCATCTGTAAAAAGAGCTGGAGAAGGAAATGACAAAACCACTCCAGTGTCTTTGTCAAGAAAACCCCAAATGGGGTCACTAAGAGTCAGACACGACCGAGATAACTGAACAGTGGCAACAATCTGACAGTCAGTAGCTGGGTGAATGTGAGCGAGTCAGCGCCCCTCTCAGAACCTCATGATTTCCATTTTGATTATTGCAGTCTTTGTCACACAGTTGTTATGAAAATAATAATAATAATAGCAATACTTTAATAATTTATTACGGAAGCCATTATTAATACTAAGTCACAGGTCTTCGCTATTGGTATCAAACCCCCACAGAGTTAGCTAAGAGGGCTGCTATTCACAAGAGGCCCCAATTGTTTTGGCTGCTACGTGGGGATGGGAAGGGAAGAGATACTGGAGTGTTCCCTGGCCCCAAGGAGAAGGCAGAGGAGCCTACATATTTGCAGAATTTGAAGTAGTACGCCATTCTGGAGATGATTTTGTCCACCCATGGGAGGATGCTGCTCTTGGCATGAATCGCCATCTGCCCGTAGCATAGCAGGGCTGTACTGCTTGCCCACCTCCAAGAAATGTCATGAATGCTCTGTCAGGGAAGGAGAAGACAAACAACTATCGAGTAGCAGAAGGAGTGTCTGACTGGTGATCAGGAGACCTGGGCTCTTAATCCCAGCTCTGCCACTGACCCATCATATGACCTTGGGCAAGTCACAGAACCACAAAATGGTAGAGCTAGAAGGGACTCAAAGTTCCCTGTACCTCACTTCCTGAACTATTCATGTTCACTCTTATTCTATCCCACCCCCATTTTAAATAAGAAGAACTAAAGGCCAGCAAGGGAAGTGACTTGATCAGGGTCACACGCTGAGTCAGGATTTGAACCCTGACCTTCTGATTCCAAATCCAGTGCACTTTCTATCAAGCCATAGTTCATTGAGCCTGAGTTTTCTCCTCTGAAAAATGTGGGTAATAAGTCTTATTCCATCTGCCTCATAGAATAGTTTGAGGATCAAATGAGATCATGGATTTTTTTCACAGACTCATAGATCTTCCCTGATTATTCTGCTGAGCTTGCAGTGAAGCTGGGGATATGATGCAGACGGGTTAAGGCCCTGAAGACTTATAAAGTCATATGGGGATTTTGAGCTGGGGTGGGGGGGAGAGTGGAGAGTGTCAGAGCTGTAGCTTATCACAGCTCTGCTTCTCCTTTGCTCCCACACAAAACCCAGTAATGGCTCCCTATTATCTATAGAGCAAAGTCCAAACTCCTCAGTCTGCCATTCAATACCTCAGATGATCTAGCACTTGCTAGCCTATTTACTTTTCATCTCTGCTGCTCTCTATTTACCAGGGATTTTCAACCTTTATGAGTCCCTTTGTCGGTTTGGTGAAACCTGTGAACCTCTTCTCAGAGCAATATTGTTAAAAGCATAAAATACATTGATTATGAAGGAAGCCAAAGGCTAATGACATAATCAAAGTTCATTAAAATAGGCCCAACCCCACATTGTAATATTCATTCTCTCATTAATTATTAACCAATCAGAGTTGATAGCCACTTCAGGAACACCCCTCTTCCAAGGGCATATAAGACTTGAGGGCTATTTCAAATGCTAGCATTATTAATAAAACAATTAATTTACCCGGAAGTTACATCTTTCAAACTTTTCAAAAATCATTGTATATTATAACAAAATTTATACAAGACACAAAGGTGCCTTTCTTCTTACAGCTTACATTCTAGGAGGAGAAATGATTTTTAAAAACCCAGAAAACTTCAATAAAAATAATACATTGTAAATTCATTACAAAAAGGGAAACTAAGTGTTATGTGAGGTTGAAGAATAAAAGTCTTTGCCTATAGTTTTGAAATTCTTTCACCTTCCTTCCTTGGTCTACCTTTTTTGACTCCTTCCAATCCTTTAAGACTCAGCTCTTTCCTGATTTATCCCAGATATATCCCTTACTACACTGTAAACTCCATGAGGGCTGGGTCAGGCCTGATGTTTCTCTGGGTTGTGACGGCCCCGAGCACAGTGCAGATACTCGGTAAATGCTTACTGTGTTGTGCCAAACTGACTTGAATTCATATTTTTAAAAGTGTAAAGCATTTTACAAAAGAGCAGCATTCAAATCCTTGCCAGCCGTCAAAGCCTAGCTCACATGAAGACTCCTCCAGGAATCTTTTACCAATTACTCCAGCATTTGAGCTAGATTGTGAACTTCTTGAAGGTGGGGACATGGAGCAAATATTAGGCACTCAATATCTCAACACTTCAAAGAGTTCATCTGAGTGGGCACTTCTATTGATACAGATTGTGACCCTTCTACAACACAGTTAAAGTCCACATGCATTTCTGAGGCTAAAAGAATTCATCCTTTAGCATTCATCCTCTCTCTCTCTCTCTCTCTCTCTCTCTCTCTCTCTCTCTCTCTCTCTCCTCCCTCCCTCCCTCCTCTCTCTCTCTCCCACTGCCTTTGTCTTTGTCCCTGTCTCTCTGTCTCTCTATCCCCTACCCCTCCACCTCTTCTCTCCCTCTTCTCTATCTCTCTCTTCCCCCTCCTCTCCTCACTTCTTTGTCTATCTCTGTCTCTCTTCCCCCCTCCCCTGCACTCTCCTCTCTACCACTCTTTGTCCCTGTCTCTACCTCTCTCAATTGCTCTGTCTTTAATAATGGAAGTATTAGGAAAATCTCAAAAGGAACAATGCCATTCACTGTTGTCTTGATATGGCTACACATGTTTGATGCAATGCAGGAAACATTTTTAAGTACTTACTCTGTCCAAGGAATAAGGCAGGGCTGCCTAATGGCTAAAGGGTGGGCCTCTTGGTCCATTTCACTCTACTTAGCTAGCTAGGCTACATGGTAAACGCAAACTTTTGACGAGACTGTACTCAAAACTTTCTAAGTCTTCTCATTCCTCGAGTTACTTTGCATTTATGTGTCTATATACATGTTGCATCCCCCACGTAGAATACAAGCTCCTTGAGTGTGTCGTTTCATTATTGTCTTAGTATCCCCAGTGTATAGCGCAGAGCTCCATGTGGAACAACTGCTTAATAACAGCACTGAATTGAATTGAATTGGTACAACTGTCTTCTGGCGTGACCTTCTCAAACCTAGGGTCAGACTCCATGCCAAGGTGAGGCATTGAAAGAGGACTTAGGTAGAGTAGGCACTCAATAAATACTTATTTAACTATTACAGATCTGTAATCCCTCACTTTCTTTGGAACTTTAGGACTTTTCAAAGACTTCACATTCATTATCTCACATGATTTTCACAGTATCCATTAGATGAACAGAAGGGGCAAGAATCATCAACTCCATGTTTTGATGAGCAAACTGAGGCTCAGAGACGTAACTTTATAAATATCACATAGAAAATTCCTGGCAGATCCAGGAAAAATTATTTAAATCAATTCTCACCCAGCATTCTACCACCCCACAGAACTGCCTTTAGGGATCTCTTTCACTCTCCCCTGCCCTACTATCTCTTTAATGTATCCCTTACTCTACTAGGGAGTATTGGGAGAGACCAGCTCCCAGAGTGATGACTGCAGCTAACAGTACCTTGTGGCTAGTGGAATGTAGGCCAAGCCTCAGTATTCTTTTTTGGCCAAATTGCTCCAGTACAGCCCAGGTTTCTTCTAGGTGGCTAGAGGATGCCAGCCCAACTGCTAGTGCTATGCCCTGTGAAAGACAAAAATATGGATTAGTTTTAGGACCCTGTCTTCTCTCACTCTCCATCCTCAGAATTCCCCAGAAATTCTTCACTATGCTCTCTGTAATAATAAGTGTAACACCTTCACCTATAGATCACTAAGTCTGGTGGGCTTCTTAAAGGAAGCCTTATGAAGCTACACGCTGCTGAGCGAAAGGAAATATGACTCCTGATTATCTGGGATAATTTTGATTGTGGCACTACATACAGACATAAAGGAGAATATTTGGAAACTTCAGACAAGTAGTTGAGAGATAAACGAGTCATGAGAATAAAAATGAATTTGCAGCCCAGAGATCAGCCTTCAAAACAGCCAAGTTCCCTGACATGTTGCTTAATTTTCAGCACTTGAAACCCTAGAAATTGCTGAGTATTGATAGCTTCTCAGTGAGACCATTCTTCACCCTTGGTTAAGTTGGGGTGTTTTCTCCCTCTCTCAGCTGAAGAGTTCCTTTATTACTGGGTATTTTTTGGTCAGATCTAATCTGTACAACTTCCCCAACATCTGTTTATTGTTTTGATTGGATGAATGGGCTTAATCACAACTCATGCTGGTCTTTTAACCCAGTGTTTTTGGTGGGAGGGAGCTAAGTTGGTAATATACTCCATTACCCTGCTCTTAAGAGCTATCAAGGATATGCCTTTTATGCTGAACCTATTATACCCTTAGGCTTACATATATTTGAGGAAGAGATAGGCAAGAAAAGGAACAAAACCCAAGCCACAGCCTCCTTCTGCTCCCCACAAAAACAGAAATCACAGGCTCCCTTGGAGTGGGGTAGGCCAGATCCCAGATCATATGTACGTATATAAACGTACATATGTATGTATATGTATGTATGTATATATATATATATATATATATATATCTCAATGCCACATGTCAACCAAGCCATCTTTTATGTATTTAGACACCAATCACATATATGCTTTATGGAAGAATAATAATGACAAAAACTCATATTTACATAATACTTCAAGGTTTTACAAAGCATTTTCCCTCAGAACACTGTGAGAAAGGGAATGCAGATACTATCCCCTTTTTAGATTCAGATTGGTTAAAGGACTAGCTAGCCTATAGCCACATAGCTAATGAATGTTGGAGCTAAGATTCAGACTTAGAAGGCCATGTAGTATGGTGAAAAGAATTGTGGACCTAGCTAAAGTTCAGGGAATTCCAGGTTTAAATTCTGTCTCAGGAATTTGATAACTATATAAGTATGGGAAAATCAATCAATCTCTCAGAGTCACTTAATCTTATTCATCTATAAAATAAGGGTGATGATAATATTTTACCTACTATAAGGTTCAAATGATACAAGATACAGCAGTTATTGTTGATTACAATGTCAGTTATTATTGTTGTTATTTCCATATGACCTGTCTCCAAGTCCAACACTTTCTAATACACAGCCCTTCAGAGATGTTAATAATAATAATTCTCACTTTGAAGTGTAGTCCTCACAATGAACCTATGAGAAAGGCAGTACAAATTTTATATCCATTTTAGAGATGAGGAAATTGAGCCTTACTCAGAGATGTAGTGACTTGCCCAAGGTCACACAGATAATAAGTGACAACCTTGGGGATGATCTCAGGTCAAGATTTTTTCTTCTTCATATGCTGCCTCCAAACCCAGATATGTCCTGGGCATTCGACACCAGGTTTAAACATGATCATTCCTTAAATGGTACTGTTTATGGGTGACTCTAAGTGCTAACATAATTTGTCATAAAACAAGGACCACAAAGGGGAGAATTTTCTGAAATTAAAAGAATGTGTATTTATTTTTTTTAATTGATGCCTTTTGTTTTTCATAACATTTTAAAAAATTATGTCCCTTCCCTGTCCTTTCCCCAGTAAGCTTTTCCTTATAATAAAGGTCCAGGTGGAGATAGGTCTGAAAAACCAACCAATGCATCTACTTCATCTGTGTATGCAACATTTCTTACTCATCATCTAGCACCTCTGCACTGAGCAGACAAAGGTGTGGACATTTATTTTCTTAAAATCATATTCTGAAGCACGCCTTGCTGCCCTCTGTGTGTTGGCCCCTCAGCAGCTGCCTCCTTTATTTCCTCTCTTCCCACCTCTGATCTCAGGAACTGCTGTCACTCACCTCTCGTTGGAAGGCTGCCTGGTGAGACAGCTCTAGGAGAGCAAACAAGTATTTCCTCACTTTTATGTTCTCCACGGATTCTCTGAGGACCAATCCATAACAGTAAAAGAGAAATTTCTGGACATTCAGGGAGGGGAGAAAGACAAGAAAGAAGATTCTGTTAGCCAAGTTGTGGGACAATGAGCGACCCCATCGGGGTCCCACCCTCTATGAAGGGGAGGATGGCAAAAGGCTCAAAGTAGATCAAATTGGACAAAAGCACCAGCCCCTTCAATATCCCTTTATTCTATTTCCCTACATGCCCCATCCCATCCCCTATGTCTCATCCCCGTGGAGCCCATAGGAAAGCCAGGGAAACCAGATATTGGCAGAGGCAAGGAAAGACAACATTCTAGGCAAGGAGAACAACAGCCAGTGAAAAGGCAAGGAGTCAGGAGACAGGGAGTCCTATGGGAGTAACAGCAAGAAAGGCCAGTGTAGCAGAAGGGAATACAGTGTAGGAAGACTAGAAAGATGACAAGGGTCCAGGATGTGAAGGACTTTAAAAGCCAAATATAAGATGCTGTATCTGATTTTATATATCGATGGGGAGTGACTTGACTTCATTGAGTAGGAGGTAGGGGTGACATGGTCAGATCTGTGCTTTAGGAAGATCATTTTGGCAGCCAAGTGGAGGATGGGCTTGAGTGTGGAAACCCTTGAGGCTGGGAGACCAATCCCATGGCTCTTGCAGTAGTCCAAGTTTGAGGTGATAAAGATCTGTGCACTCTGGTGGTGGTAATGAGAGTGAAGAGAAAAGGCTTTACAAGAGATGTGAGGGGAGAAATGGCAAGACTTGACAATAGATGTGGGGTAAGTTTGCATGAGGAGTTGAGAATGACACCTAGGTTGTATCCTGAGTGGAAGGAAAATGTTGTCTTTGACAGAAATAGGGAAGTTAGGAAGAAAAGAAAATTGTTTTTACCTTTATCCCATTCTCATTTTTTCGAGTTGATAACACATTGCAGTGGGTCAGTTTATAGATGGTATAATTGCTTATTTTTTCATCTTTATCCTTATAAATTTGTGCTGTAGACATTTGATTTTGAAATAACTCAAGCATCAGAAACCAGCGGCTTACTGTCATTTTCTTTTTGTACATTTTTGGATTCTCACCTTGGCAGCACTTTCTGGTTCTCTTCTTAGCTCTCTACAGTATCTCTCACATACACAACCTTTTCTTTACTAAAATGGCCACCACCTGAATGAAGGTCATTATCGCTTCTTCCTCAGACTGCTACAGAGACCTCCTCATTGGTCTCCCTGCCTCATGTTTCTCTTCCCTCTGATCCATCATCCACATAGCTGTAAACATAATAGTCCTAAGTAGAGGTCTAAATATGAGCCTTCCTTGTCACTCCTCTTTCTTCATACTTGGACACTATGACTCAGCTGCCATCTTTCCCTGGAACTTCTTTCCTCATCCTGGAACATTCTTCTACCATGCCAGTTCCTTCCTCTCATTGATGAGTTCTTTCTGGGACCTCCCTTTTGGGGATAGGCACAGGCCTATTCATTTCTCTCCCAGGGCACTTCAACAAACAGAGGATTCTATACATCAGAGTATGTCGAGCCAGGCAGGGCAAGAAGACAGCAATCATTTATTAAATGTTTAATATATACCAGTCTCTGTGCTCAGGATATATGGTAAACATGAAGAAAAAATAAAGACAATTCCTGCCCTCAAGGAGGTTACATTCTAATGGGGGAAGACAGCACATAAAAGGGAGCTGAAAAGTTCAGAATGGGTGGGAGAGGGAGAGAGAGAAGATATCTGTGCAGAGGCATGGTTACAAAGTTGACAAAGTTGTCTCTCGGACAGCCTTCCTATAGGTACAAAAACATTCTTCTAAAGCACAAGTATGACTATGTCATTCCCCTGATCAAAACCCTTCCTTGACCCCTTATTATCTATAAGATAAACTATGAATTCTTTACCCTGGTCTCACCCTCCAGAGTTTGCCCTCAGCCAATACTTCCAGCTTTAGTTGACATTACTTTCTTTCATTCTCACTACTTTTTAGCTGAATAGTATTACTAGCTCCCAGTTTATGTCCTGCTCACTCTTGCCCCCTTACATTCACATGGGCCATTCTTTATGTCTGAAATACACTGCTTCCTCACCTCCTTGTTGATATGCTTCCTTTCTTTCAGAAAGCAATGCACATAGGGCCCGCTTTCATGAGGTTGTCAATGATTATGCCGGCTGAACCCCACTTAGCTTAATTTATCCATGTTGCTCTTTGGTCCCTGCCACATTTTACCTTGTGTCAAATTTATTCACATACATGTTGTATGTTGCCCTAATAGAAGGGAGAATGTACTGTTATTTCTAAAAATCTTCCCATCCCCAACCCCAAGCATGGTGCTTTGCACTTAATAAATATGTTCTTAATATTTATTTGTTGAATTGAATTGAGTTATAATAATCAATCACCAAACATTTCTGGAGCAACCATTTTGTGTCAAGCACTGTATAGAGTGGGGGGCGGGGGTGGAACAAGCACAAAATTAAGGCATTGCCAGACCCCAGAGGAGCTTATATTTTATCAAGTGAGACAACACATAAATAAGTACATGTAAAATATGTGCAAAACAAATACAAAATAGTGGTTTTGGGGGATGGCACTAGCAGCTAGGACACAAGATAAATCATCAGATAAAAGGTAACCTTTCAGCAAAAGTGTTTTTTTTCTTCCCCTTTAGCATTAGTGCTTTTTTGCTTCTCTTTTAGATTACCCTTTATGTCTGTGTATTTGTATTTTCATTCATTTATTTTCTCTTCTTTCTTTGGCAAGACTTGCCACTGTAGATTCAGATTTTTCTGCTCTGCTAATTATTTCTGCTCTGCGGGACAAAAATTTTGTTTTCACAATTTTTTATCTGTCTTTAAACCACATCCTGCTATGTTTCCATCCCCTTTTGGGAATCTACAGGATCCTCTGCCTCATCATATGTTGATTCATTTTTCTTTGTCTGGCAATATTTATTCATAGACATCTGGGAGTAATTGAACTGATCTGGAGGTTATATTCCCTTGTGTTATTAATATCTCTCCTGGTAGTTGATCCATTTGTGCTCAAGGTTTTAAATGAATTTGCTTGCTCCTGAGATATTTCTTTGGCAATTTTGGTTTCTTTCCCTTGCATCCCCCTATTACTCACTTTCTGACTCTTTCCCTTTCATTGTGGTTTCCCTGGAGGATGGACTTCAAAGCTGCCTCAGTCTTCTCCCATGCTGGGTAATTCATGCATCATTGGTTTGTCTCTGCCCCAAGTCCCCAAGTGACTTCTTAGGGGATAAAACTGATGCCTAATAGATGCTAGTCCTCTTTTCCTTAGGCTTAGTGGAGTGTTGCATACTCACAGTCCTGCCCTGGTTTTCTCGCTCAGTTTTTTAGATGAGCTCATTTGCACCACAGAGCATCATTGCACTGTAGGCCCACACAGATCAAGTTTCTGTCTTCTGACTTGGGGGCAGGGAGTAGGGTTAGGAGAGGGGAGGAATGTGAGCAAAATTAAGTTGTATTGCAAACCTACAAGCCTTTGTCTCAACTTGTTGAGTGCTGCCAGCCAGGGAACTAGCCTTCTCTGCTGTTAGATCATTGGGCTGTTACCTCCTTAGGGTTCTTGATGTTATAGCCTTGGAGACATCAAATATTGCATTATCGCTTGCACATAGTTCCTATTTTGGAGAGGTTTGGGAGGTTGTGAAGATGGAAGAAAGTGTCTAATTCTCCATCTTGTTTCATCACATGACCCAGAGTTGAACAGAGTATTGAAGGAAACAAAGGATTCTAAGAAGTGGAAGTAGAGGGCAGCTAGGTGGTGCAGTGGATAGAGTACCAGCCCTGGAATCAGGAGGACCTGAGTTCAAATCCAGCCTCAGACACATAACACTTACCAGCTGTGTGACTCTGGGCAAGTCACTTAACCCTAATTGCCTCACCAAAAGAAGAAGAAGAAGAAGAAGAAGAAGAAGAAGAAGAAGAAGAAGAAGAAGAAGAAGAAGAAGAAGAAATAGAAGTGACAGAGGAACACATTCCAGGCCTGGAAGACAAGCATTGCAAAGGTGCAGAGACAAAAGATGGAGTGTGGGGTATGAGGAACAGCAAGCTGGCCAGTAGGTCCAAGCCATAAGATGCAAGAAGGTAAGTAATATATAGTAAGACTGAAAATCCAGGTTAAGAAGGGTTTTAAAAGCCAAACAGCTTATCCTAGTGACAATAGGGAGCCATAAGTTTACTGAATAGAAGAGCTGCACAGTTGGATTTGTGTTTTAAGAATATCATTTTGTGGGGCAACTAGGTGGCACAGTGGATAGAGCACCAGCCCTGGAGTCAGGAGGACCTGAGTTCAAATCCAGCCTCAGACACATAACACTTACTAGATGTGTGACCCTGGGCAAGTTACTTAACCCCATTGCCTAGCCAATCATTTTGGCAGCTCCATGAAAGAAAAAGTGGGGATAGACCTGAGGCAGGGAAACTAATCAGGAGTCCATGTGAATACTCTAGATGAGAGATGAGAAGGACCTAAACTAGGATGGTCATTATGTGAGTAGAGAAAGGAGTCAGATGCAAGAGATATTGTGGAGGAAGAAGCTACATTTGGCAAGTGACTGGAAATGTGGAATGAGGGGCAGTGAGAAGTCCAGGGACATGCCAAGACGGAGCCTGTGTGACTGGAAGAACGGGGGTGCCCTTAACAAAAACAGGGAAGCTCAGAGGAGGGGTGGGTTTGGGGAGGATGAAAATTAGCTCAATTTTGGACACGCTGTGTTTGGGATGCCTACGGGACATCCAGTCTGAAATATCTACTATGCAATTGGAGATTAGCAACAGGAACTTAGGAGAGAAACTAAGGCTGAGTCTACAGATTTGGGAGTCTTCTGCCTAAACAGGAGCGAACGAAGTTGCTAATAGAGAGTGCGCAGAAAGAAAAGATAAAGATGGCCTAAGATAGAGCCTTGGGAAATACTCAGACAGGGAACATGCTGTGAAAGATAAGCCAACAAAGGACACTGACAAGCAGCCAGACAGGGTGAAGATCCAAGGGAAGTCAGTGCCATGATGGCCCAGAGAAGGAAGAAGCAAAGATATAGTTACAGAGAGACCTGGAAAGACTGGTAGAAACGGATGCAGAGTGAAATGAGCAGAACCAGAACAATTTGTACTGTACCATCAATATTGTAACAATGAATAATGCTGAAAGACTGACAGATTTTGCTCTCCCAAATAATCAACCATGATTCTAGAGGACTGATGGAGAGAACACGGTCTTCTTCATGACAGAGAGGATGGTCTAATATGTGGAATAAATGCATTTTTGGATGTGGCAAATGTGGACATTTGTTTTGCTTGGTAATGCTTAGATAATTCAAATTTTCCTTCTTCCTTCTTTCCTTTCTTTCTTTCTTTCTTTCTTTTTTTCTTTATTTCCCTCTCTCTCTCTTTCCTTCCTTCCTTTCTTTCTTTTCTTCTTTCTTGGAATGAGGAGAGGTGGAAGGCAGAAAAAAATAAATGTATGAAAAGGAGAGAAACAGCAAGAATGCTCAACAGTGCCAAATGCCACAGATGGTTTGAAAAGGATAAGGACTAAGAAACTTGAGATGGAGAACCTGCAGCTTTGAGGTAACACATGGCCCTCTGGGTCTTCAAGTGTGGCCCTTTGACTGAATCCAAATTTCACAGAACAAATCCTCTTAATAAAAACATTTGTTCTGTAAAACTTAGACTCAGTCTAAAGGCCATACCCAAGGACCTAGAGGTGGTCCACCCCTGGGTCAGACTCAGAAATGAAGAGGTCACTGGTAATTACTCAATTCTGCAGGGCTCTGGATACACATAGCGCTTTCCTCTCAACAATCCTGTGAGGTAGGAAGTATATGTATTATTATCCCCATTTTGAATCTGAGGAAACTGAGGCTCAGAGAAGTTAGTTTGACTTGCCCCAAATTGACAGCCAAAAAGTCACGAATTCAGACCTTCTGACTGTAAGATAATGTTGTCTCTCTTCCAATCTACGTGCTTCTGTTCACCTGAGTTTGCCCATCTAGGATGCCTTTCCTTCTCCCCTCTGTCTATCTAAATCCAACTAACCTTCATGGCCCCCAGTTTCACTTTCCCCAAGAAGCTTTCCTCGTCTACAACTGCCTTTGATGACCTTCTGCCTCTATCATTTCTATAGCACTTACAATCCATGCCATGGACTGCTTCATTATGTCCTACCTTTTATTGTTCTCTCCTTGTTTTTCTGTGTGTGTTTTGTCTCCCTAGATAAACTGGTAGTTTGCTCTCTGTGCTCTCTCCCTAAGCTCCTTTGCCTTCCAGTCCCTCCATTTCTTCACATACTGCCAGGGCCAGGCACACAGGAAACTCTCAACATTTGATGGTTGATTAGGCCTCCAGCCTTACCACTTACCTTGTCCAGGGAATTCATAGATTCTGTCATTGTGGAAATGAGATCCTGGAGATAAGTGTCAAGAACTCCTAACGAGATGAACTCAGATTCTACCTGCGGGCCAAGCACATGCCTAATAATAACGTTAACGACTAGGGTTTATGTAGCACTAGCACTCTACTGCACTTACAAAATGCTTTACATATGTTATCTCATTTGAACCTTACAACAACCCTGAGAGGGAGGTGCTGTTACAATCCCAGTTTTACACAGGAGGAAAAGAGGCTGAGAGAGGTTAACTGACTTGCCCAGGATCACACAACTGGTAAGTGTTTGAAATGGGATTTGAAGTCAAGGCGTCAAGACCAGTGATCGATGCACTCCTCCATCTACTGAGGTGCCCACTGACCAAGTACTATAGAGCCTTAGCCGATCACTAGGAGTCTCTGGGAGACTACGCAAAGTCAAGCTGCCTGTTTCAAGTTTCCTAATTCTCTACTAAACCACCTACTTTGTTTACTGCTTTGTTTAGCCATTTTCAGTTGTATCTGACTCTTCATGACTCCTTTTGGGGTTTTCTTGGCAAAGATACTCCAGCAGTTTGCCATTTCCTTCTCCAGATGATTTTACGGATGAGGAAAGTGAGGCAAACAGGGTTAAGTGACTTACTCAGGTTCACACAGCTAGTATGTGTCTGATGCTAGAACCCAGTTATCTTGACTCTGGGTTTCGTGCTGTATCCACTATACCACCTAGCTGCCCAACACATCACTGCAGTCCCCAAGAACTATAAGTATGAGACCTGAAAGGGATCTGGGAAAGATGCCATATAGCTATGGGAGAGGAAACTGAGGTCCAGAAAAGGGAAGTCACTTACTCCAAAGTTATAGACACGCCAGGACTAGGATTCTGACTCTAAATCTAACACTCTAGGCATGACTTGCTGTGCTACTTCTTAGCCTTAGCCTGAAAAACATTTGGCATTCTTGAGTTGGATGATAGTAGGAAACAGGCTGGAAGTTTATCAGTTCATGAAGGAGATACAAAGGAGGAAAAGCACATAAATGTTGTCATACCCTATACACTCAGCCTCATGATTGCTATTCAGTTCCAAGAGACAGTTAAGTGCCTGCTAGCCCACATAAACCATTATCTCCTTTATGCCTGCTATTTCAGGATGCAGTTCTTTTACCCTAATGCACTCCGAAAAATAGCTAACACACTAGATGGCAAGATCCTGAAAGATACTGATGGGCAAGAATCAGGCCGAATTTAATAAGGATGAATGTAAAGTCTTACATTTGGATCCAAAATATCAACTTCACAAATAGAAGACAAGAGAGGAATGTTTAGATGACAAAAACAAGCTAGGAGTTTTAGTGGGCTACAAGTTCAATATAAGTCAATAGTGTAATATGGCAACGAAAAGAATTAATGCAATCTTGACCTGAATTAAGAGGTGCATTGTTTATAGTGCACTCTGGAAGACCACATCTCAGAGGATAATAGACCTTTTGAGTTGGAGATATTTTCTAGTCCACCTATTCCTGAAAAAAAAATCTCATTAAAACACCTTCCTCTGGACACTCACCCATATTTCAAGCTCTTTCCCAAACCATGGTATACCAGATCCTGATACTCCAGATGTGCTATGAGTGGGGCAAAGAATAGCAGAACTCTCACCTCCTTATCCTAGGAATACTCTTATCCCTCAGGTCAAGATCACATTTGCTCTTTTGGATAGCATATCATACTTTTGGCTTATATAGTCATCAAAAACAAGAACAGGAATGAACAAAAAAACTTCAGTTTATTAACTGGCATCACAGAGGGAATAAATCTGTCCAACTTAGCGAGGCTGGTCCCCAAATGACAGTCACAAACTATGCTGCTAAACACAGACCCCTAGGTCTTTCCACCTTGACCTAACATAGCTTGTCTTTCACTTGGGATAGCCTTCAAAAACTCAGGGTCAACTCCATGCCACAATAAGACATTAGAGAAGGACTTTAGTTCAGGCTTAATGAGAGCATAGTTTAGGCAGAAGCTCCCAAAGTGGGCAATACTGCCCCCCTCGGGAGTTGCTGGAATGATCCAAGGGAGAGGTAGTAGCCTTGGGTGCAATTGTGGGGCATTGAATAAAAGTGAGGGGTTGGTGGAAACATAAGGAAAGAAGAGAAGAAAATTCTGAAAAAGCCATTTGTATATGTTTCATCTGTTGGGTAACAGAGTTAAAGTTGTAGTGATTACATTATTTTCCAAATAAGCACACAAAATGCAAATTATAACTAATCAGTGATCAAGTCCACAGACAGGTCTTAACAAACAAGTATTGGCAGTTGAGTGGGTCACACATTGTCAGGAAGTCCAGCATGCATTAGCAGGAATATATGCATGTAATGATTTGTTTACAATATGATAGTATACAGTTACATGATGCAATATTGCATCATCAAAATTTCAATGGAGGAAAAAACCATGAATTTACAATAAATTATTAAATTTAAGATGTCATTTAAAAAATATTTCTGTTTTTTGAAATGATGCAAATTTTTTAAAAAGTTAAAGGATTAAAGAAAGTAGATTTCCGGGGGACACTGAATATTTTTTTTTCCAAAAAGGGGGCAGTAAGCTAAATAAGTTTGGGAACCTCTGGTCTAGAGGGAAAAGCACTGTCTGTAGATCATTCTTGGCTCTGCCACTTAATTGCTGTGTGATCTTGGCCAAGTCCCTTTAAGTTCTCAACCCCAATTTCTTCATCTGTGAAATGTGAATGATAATATTGTACTAATTACAGCATAAGGTTTTATTGAAAAAATAATTTGTATATTTTAATGAGCTATATAAGTTGTTATTACCATCTATCAAATGAGACTAATAATATTTTATTTCCATGAAGGTAAGGGGTTAAATGAGATAGTCTTCAGAGGTCCTTTCCTCCTTGATTTTGTGAAATGACTGAAGATTATCCCTTTAAGGATTATGCACACAGTGACTTCACTTCATGAATATAGATAATTGAGCTCTTTTACCCTAAAATTGCTTTATTTTCTATTTATTTTCTATGCATCTCACTTATTTATTTATCATTTGTTTGTTTGTTTGCTTTCCATGTATCTTATTCTTCTTTACCTTTAAACACTCTGTTTGGCACCAAGAGAAGGAACACCTGCCTCACTTGTGGTTTTTGCATTCCTAATGCCTACCATTTGAGGAGGGGGTGTCTAGAACCATAATTCATTCATGAGGAAACTCCCTCGACCAATGCAAATTAGATACCTTCCTACAACATATAGTCTTAGAGAATGGCGTGAGGCGCTAAAAGTTTAAGGGATTTACTCAAGGTCACATAGCCAGTGTACATCAGAGGTGACACTTGAACCCAGGTCTTCTCGAGGAGGCCGAGGCTAAGACCAACTCTCTATCCACCCTCCCACCTTGTCTGTCATCTGGTACATAAAAGGAACTTCATAAATGCTTGTTAATTGATTGAGTTGACCTCTATAGATAGGATCAAGCACTGAGGCAGGAACAGCCACACAGTCAAATCATAGTTTTCAAATTGGAAAGTATCTTAGAAGTCATCTAGTTGTACAAGTGCGTCATTTTACGGATGATAAAATTGAGGCCCAGATAGGAGAAATGACTGACCCAAGATGACACAAGTAGTAAATAGGAAAGCTGGCATTCAAAGTCAACTCTTCTTCCTCTATACCATGCTCTGTCCTTCACTAGCCTCTTTGAGGGGAACCATTGAGTTGTCCTTCTGTTTAGCTACAGCTTGCATGTTTGCTGAATTTTTTTTATAGCAAGAATGTCAATATGGCTACAGATCAGTTCCTATGGTTATTATCAACTCGTTAGTCACTGGACAAAGATCACACATTCACTGCACTAACAATTAAGTTAATGTTGGTACAGTCTAAAAGCGGTGTGGTAGCCACTTGTGGTCCCATTTCCACCATTCTACCACAGTCATCATAGAAGTGGATAGAGAGTCATTTTGACTTCATGGTCACCAAGGCCAAAAAATTAAATGCTGTTCAGTCACGTCCAACTGTTTTTCACCCTGTGGACAATATCATGCCAGTACTATCCATGGGGTTTTCTTGGCAAGGATACTGGAATGGCTCACCAGTTCATTCTCCAGAGGCAAGCAGAGGTCAAGTGACTTGCCCAGGATCACACAGCTAGTAAGTTCCTGAGGCCAGATTTGGACTCAGGTCTTCCTGACTCCAGGGCCAACACTCTATCCACTGAGCCATCTAGCTGCCTCATAAAAGTGAATTACCTAGTTGTGTGATTCTGATGATGAGCTAGGCTGACCTTCAGAGAGCTGGCAGTCTGTCCCCTCACAGAGGTCTGCACCCTCTTCTCTTCTCCCACTATACTACTTCACTTGATGATCTCATAGGCTTCTAACTACCATCTCTAATGATGATTCTCAAATCTAACTTTCTACCCCAAAGTCTTTACTGACCTCTAATCTCCTATCTCCAACTGCCTTTCAGACATCAAGACTCAATATGCCCAAAACCAAAATCATTATCTTTCCCCCTTTGGGCAGGTAGATGCCATAGTAGATAGGCTTCCAGGGCTAGAGTCAAGAAGACTTGCCTTCAAATCCAGCCTCAAACACTTACTAGCTGTTTGACCCCGGGCAAATCACTTAATCCTGTTTGCCTCAGTTTCTTCATTTGTAAAATGAGCTAAAGAAGGAAATAGTAAACCATTTCAGAATTTTTTCCAAGAAAACCCCAAATGGAGTCAGGAAGAGTTGGACATGACTGAATAACAGCAAAACACTCTCCTATCTTTCCTATTTCCATAGAAGGGGACACTATCCTCTCAGAGCCTCAGGCTCACAACCCAGGAGTCACCCGAGATTCCTTACTCTCTCTCACCCCAACTGCTCCAATTCAATCTGTTGCCAAGGCCTGTAGATTTTACCTTTGCAACATCTCTTAAATAACCCTGTCCCCTTCTTTTCTCTGACGCTGCCACCTCTCTAATGCAGGCCCTCATCATCTCATGGCTAATCATTACAATAGCTGCTA